GTTAACAGTTAAAAGTGTCCGTAAAGGTTCGTACTAAATAAGTGCTGCCTTAAAAATATACAAATTAGCATTGTCTCGGTGTAGTTTGTTAATTTTCATTTTACTGTACATAGATCACTGTGTAACGTACAGTTTTCATAAAAAGGAATAAGTATATTGTTATAACATTGTTAATCACCACAAAAAGGAATAAATATATTGTTATAGCATTGTTAATCACCACAAAAAGGAATAAATATATTGTTATAGCATTGTTAATTAGCACAAAAATGAATAATTATATTATTATAGCATTGTTAATCACCACAAAAAGGAATAAGTATATTGTTATAGCATTGTTAATCACCACAAAAAGGAATACGTATATTGTTATAGCATTGTTATTGTTATTATAGCATTGTTAATCACCACAAAAAGGAATAATTATATTATTATAGCATTGCTAATCACCACAAAAAGGAATAAGTATATTATTATAGGATTTTTAATCAGCACAAAAAGGAATAAGTAAATTCTTATAGCATTGTTAATCACCATAAAAAGGAATAAGTATATTGTTATAGCATTGTTAATCACCATATAAAGGAATAAGTATATTGTTATAGCATTGTTAATTAGCACAAAAAGGAATAAGTATATTGTTATAGCATTGTTAATTAGCACAAAAAGAAATAAGTATTGCCAGTATTGATGAATATGCTACTGGAATATTTGAAGCTCCTATAGATAATGCAGCAAAGTTGTGTCTACCAAAATCAGGAGGAGTGGCAAATGAAAAATCAAAAGGGATCTTAGGTTGGAATGAATATGTAAAACCATATCAGGCCGAAAGTAAGTTCTGGTTTGGTGTTTGGCAAGCAGCTGGGAGGCCAAGAGAGGGAGAACTGTTTATTTTGCAGCGAAATGCTCACATGCAATATAAATATTCTATAAGAAGATTAAAGAGAGCAAAAAGTCATTTACTTCAAGATAAATTTACTCAAAAATTGCTCAATGGAGGAGGTGATATATTCAAAGAAATTAAGAAATTCCGGGGACAAAATACAACAATTTCAAATTGTATAGATGGAGAAGTTGGGGCCCAGAATATTGCAAATCACTTTCAAGAAATCTATGAAAATCTGTACTCCCAGCATACTCTAGGAGAAGATTTTGATAAAGTGCAGCAAAATATACAAGAAAGAGTTCATCATGGATTACAGGATGATATAAATAAAGTTAACAGCCAGTCAGTCAAAGATGCACTAAATAAAATGAAAGCAATGAAAAGTGATGCATTATTTGACTTCAGCNTATATTGTTATAGCATTGTTAATCACCACAAAAAGGAATAAGACTATTATTATAGCATTGTTAATCACCATAAAAAGGAATAAATATATTGTTATAGCATTGTTAATCACCACAAAAAGGAATAAGTATATTGTTATAGCATTGTTAATCACCAGAAAAAAGGAACAAGTGTATTGTTATAGCATTGTTAATCACCACAAAAAAGAATCAGCATATTGTTATAGCATTCTTAATTACCACAAAAAGAAATAAGTATATTATTATAGCATTGTAAATCACCACAAAAAGGAATAAGTTTATTGTTATAGCATTGTTAATCACAACAAAAAGGAATAAGTATATTGTTATAGCATTGTTAATCACCAGAAAAAAGGAACAAGTGTCTTGTTATAGCATTGTTAATCACCGCAAAAAAGAATAAGCATATTGTTATTGCATTGTTAATCACCGCAAAAAAGAATAAGCATATTGTTATAGCATTGTTAATCACCATAAAAGGGAATAGATATATTGTTATAGCATTGTTAATCAGCACAAAAAGGAAAAAGTATATTGTTATATCATTGTTAAATACCACAAAAAGGAATAAGTATATTGTAATAGCATTGTTAATCACCACAAAAAAGAATCAGTATATTGTTATAGCATAGTTTATCACCACAAAAAGCATAAGTATATTGGTATAGCATTGTTAATCACCAGATAAAGGAATAAGTATATTGGTATAGCATTGTTAATCACCAGAAAAAGGAATAAGTATATTGTTATAGCATTGTTAATCACCAGAAAAAGGAATAAGTATATTGGTATAGCATTGTTAATCACCAGATAAAGAAATAAGTATATTGGTATAGCTTTGTTAATCACCAGATAAAGGAATAAGTATATTGTTATAGCATTGTTAATTACCACAACAAAAGTATATTCCCAGTCTATCTGAACTTATTTTCTCTTTTCTCTTGTCCTAAAGTACAATTTGTGTTTCTAAACAATTTTTCTTAACAAATATGTTTTAATTCTAACCATGAATGGGGGTAATGACGTGAAATTTAATGTTTTATTTAAATCTAGCGACCAGGGAAAGAAAGGGTGGTCTCTGGTCGTCCATCAATGCACTAATGGATTTGGATGATTTATCATCAAATAAAATTTTATTCTTTTGATAGAATTGTATATAAATGTATTTGTGGCCACAATTCCATTTTCCTTTTCAAACTATTGCAAAGTAATTGCTCTCAACAAACGTCATCAAGGGTTTAACTTAAACCAACTATAAGGGCTGGGGGGGGGGGTCTAAATCTATGTATATCCTGGAGAAAGGGGCATCCCTTGGCCTTTCAGTTCCTTTTACTATTTTGAGAAATAAAGACGACTTAATGATTACAAATAGAATATATTTTAATTTTACCTTTTTATAAAAAAAGATTTTTTGTTTTGATGAACAGAAAAGTTGATTTTTACCTTGAGAAATATGCTGATTATGAAGTTTTTGCTCTTTATTATTTGGTGGCGGGGAACCAGGGATTGAGGGGGGGGGGTTGTAAGTCTGTTTTGTGTTTTGTGAAAAAGTTAATTTGTTGTTACACATTTTTAACAAAAACAGGTTTGAAAATTAACTTTCAAGGACTGTGGTTGTTTCTTTTGTCTAGGCACATATGTCAACTTTGTTCTAATTTCAGCTAATAATAAACTTTCCAAAACTCATTGTCAAAAACCCGCAGAAATAGTGTTTCAAAACCACAGTTTGTGATAATATTTGAGGGGAATCTTAAAATTATCTCGATCAAAAGTCCCTTCTATATAAATTTTGATGATATATAACTTGTTAAACAATTTTGACCAATTCCATAAATTTATAATCTGACATACAGAACATTTGTGCTTAACTTTTTATACATTTTAAATTGTCTTTATATTTAATAAACGAAAAATGAATAAGTTTAGATCTGATTCTGATTACATTTATTAATAAATTTAAAATACTTATTCTTTAGGATGAATACAATTTTACTATTAAAGGCTGCGGGGGTTAGTTTTTTTATGAAAGTGTATGAACAGTGCAGAAACAAAAGTTAAATAAGACCAACGGTAGGAAATGCAGTGTCATCAATAAAAGATTGGTACCAAATTCTGTTTTACTAGAAACCAAAGAAAAAAATATGAAAATGTTAAACCTCTCACTGATTGATCTACAGAACAAACCTAGGCTGAACAATGAAGATTGATTAATCAGAATAAAAGGAATTGTAAATTTATTTGCAATTAAACTTGAAATCTCAATTTTCAAAATGATGACCAAGACTATTTCAGCTTTCAACGTATTTCCTGATTTTAGAATAATAATAATAAACGTAGAAATATCTATGAAAATCTGCCTATTGTAAACATGATTGAAAGAAGCTAATATCGCTATTCCATCTTCCTTATAAAAATAATCATCCTAGAAGGAAGTTAAACTACCTTTGTAAATTAAAAACGTTTTGGTGGCGGAAATACAGTGTAATGAAATAAAATGTCTGTCCAAAAACCTTCTAGCAGTACGAGCCAAAATAATAGTGTTAAATATAGTTGATAGCGATTTGTATGTTTTGATATTTATGTTTTCTAGCCATATACTGCAATATTAATATGGTTACAACAAACGTCACACACAGTATATTACACCAAAAACATTACGACACGCATTATATACAATATAACATCTAACCTTAGCATAAATTGTGAATAGTAAATTTTGGTTGTTACAATATCAAGAAATATATTTTAAATACATTTTTATAGAGAAAATGCTGAAGGGAAAAGGATTTATGTCTTACCATGAATACAAAGCAAAGAAAGGTATTAAAATTAGCTTACACATTTTTTTATTTATAATTTTGTCATATAATTTTTATCAACAATAAAAATTCTGAAAAAGTTTATAACTTAGACAATTATTAAGTTGTAAGCCTAAAGTTTACTCATTTGAAAAGACCTTGATCAATGTACAGTTTTTATTTAAATTAAGACTATTTGGCTTTTCAGTGTAAACTGTGGGTTTGGGAACAGGGTTAACGACTGAGTTAAAAGTTTTTGTTATAAAAAAATTAATATTTTTATGCAATTTTCAATTTCAAAGGCTTGCTGTTTTGTGGTTTTTTTAAAGACAGAAAAATCGTTGAGAGCGTAAAATAATTTCTTTTAAACACAAGTTTCTTATTATTGCCTCCTTAAACCATACTATTATTATATTTAAAATGCAGTATATGTTATCAATCAGAAAAATGGAAAAGTAACTATTTCCGTTTAATCTAAACAGGGAGAAATTGGATTAGGGTTGGGGGATCGACTGAATCCCCCCTGGCATAGCCTAGATATATTGGTGTAATAAATTATTGTATAGTCATTTTTCTTCTTCACATCTTATTCCAACTTATGATTTATTTTCAATTTCCCAATTGCAGTATACCCGCCCTGTAGCAACTGAGTGACTTAAAAGGCCACTCTAAAAAACCCTAAAAATCCACCTTTAACATTATTTTTGTTGCATTTTTAGTATTTTTCCTTGATCTAACCAATAATAAGTATTCTTAATCAAAATTTCAAAGAAAAATACAAAAAAAAATTCTTCCGCCACTAGCGGGTTAACACTTTATTTGATGACATAAAAGAAATTATACAAACTATTTGATAATTTTTTTTTAATATTTAGAGGAAGAAAAGAGAAAAGAGAAGGAAGTTGGAAAATTAAAAGTTGAAGAAGGTATTAAATTATGTATTTATGTAACCAAAGAATAAAGATGGGTATCATTGTATTTTTCTGATTGAACGAATTTTCTGAAATAAAAAAAGTTCGTTTTTTAATATCAATAAACGATTTTTTTACTGAAAGAATTAAACGAACGATTTTACTAAACAATCGTTCACTGAGAAAACAAACGAACGACAAAAACTGTTAATTTAATTTACCGAACGGAAATGCAGTTTTAAAACTACGGCGACTATCGTTAATTCTTAACTTAAATTGCATGAAACTAATAAAAAGTGTTTTGATGTTTTTGAATTTTAAAAATTTGCGTTTAAAAGTTTTTTATTTTAGTAAAATTTTGAAAATGCGCGAAAAAATATTATGAAATCCGCAAACTTTTTTGTTTGTTTTTGTTTTATACTGTACAAAGAGAAGATGCTCACACAACACCATGAAAAGTTGAAATAGATAATGGGCGACTAAGCTTTACCCTATATCTACAGTTGTACTTTACTCTTTTTTATTTCTAGTTGAATCCTGAAATGTTAACCTTGAACGCTTGATTTTGATATCCAAAGTAGGCTAGGCACATTTAAATTCTAAAATCAATACTTGATCCATATAAGAAAACGGATGAATTAGCCATGTTATATGGTATATGTCATGTTGTAAGAAGATTGTGGCATATAAAATGAAATATATATATATATATATATATATATTTATTATCTATCTTATACTTTCCTTATAAATTATGGTTGCTGCAGCACTCAAACTCCTGCAACATTAACCCTAAAAGACGGTGGGAACGTTTGGGTATGTGTGTGTTTTTTTTAATGAAAAAAAGATTTGCAGAAACCCCATTTATATTTTTAACAACGTTAAATTCAAATAACATTTAAAATCTTCTGCAGTATAACTCAATAATAGAAAAAATAACATTTAAAAATTAAAGATGTTAAATTCTTTAAACATCGGAACTTTTTTTATCCATTCATTAACGGTTAGACAAATTTCGTTTTTAACTTTAAACTCAACTTTCTGTTTAGTTAACGTTTTTTATTCTCTTTGTTGATTGAGTTTTTGTTCGTTCGCGATTTTTGTTTTTTAAAGGAATTAACGTAAATATGCTCCAAATTTTCGCCCTCCTTCGAAAACATTATTAAATATTCTAAAATAATATTTTTTGACGTTATTTAAGAAAAGCATCAATACCTTTCCATTGCACCCATCTAATCCTATTTTGCATAATCGTTTAAAGTTTAGAATTCTATAATGCTTTATGATTTAATATAATCTCATAAACTTGCTGCATGAAGGGACCACAATGTTAAATTCAAAACAGTGCACTGTGCTGTGTGCAGTCTACACAATAAGAATTTTAAACAGAATTTTAACATTTCGTAGATTATTTCAATTCCAAGAGTAAGATGAATGTTTTAATTAGTTTTGGACGTGGTAACCTTTAAACCTTGAACTGATCAAGGTTGACGGAGTTTTTTTTAGAAAAGCTTGTAATCTATTTTAGTAAGAGTGTTTACCCATCCTTGGTTTTCGAGAAATATACACACCGTTGTGTTAAAGGGTGTGTTTGCTAAAAAAAGGCTTATACCAAATTAAATTCGATGGAGCTACTAATTTTACTTCTACTGCGTGTAGGGTTATAAATCATTTTTAAAAACGATCGTTAAAGGATCGTTTTCGTTTCGTTTTCGATCGTTTTCAAAAACGATCGTTTCGTTTTTATAAAAAAAGATAGTTTTAAAAACAATCCACTCGTTTTGAACTTTTAGAAAACGAATCCCCATCGTTTTTAAAACCGATCTTTTTTAAAAAAAACGATAAGCGACCGTTTTTATACAACTGTTTTAATATAAGACAATAGTTTTTGAACTGGTTGTCGTTAATGATATTAAACGAAACGAAGAACTTTATAAAAGGTCGTTATTAAAAGCGAGCGTTTTTAAAACGACCGTTTTTGAAAAATGATTTCTTTAAAAACGATAATTTTTCAAAAACGATAATTTTTCAAAAACGATAATTTTTCAAAAACGGTCGTTTTTAAAACGATAGTTTATCGTCGTCGTTTTTATAACGAAACGATCCTTTAAAAAAAACGATCAATCCCTGTATAAGGAGAAAATAGTTAAAAAAGCTCACACCGAAGAGTGCAGGACCCATACAAATCCACTGCGTTGCGTAATTTTACACTAACCGAAATTAATTTAATTATATTAATAACTAATTATTTAGCTATTACAGCTTATAAGTTATAAACGTCAAATTCAATTCAATGCATTCCTACATTTTTTTTATATAATTCCTTTATATAGTTGACATTATTGCTCTCTACATTTTAGGGATTTAAATTTGGGAGGAGTCACCTAAGAAATTACAGCAAAAATCACTTTTAACGAGTCATAATTTACACATTTTTAGAGAAAAATTCTCGTAGCCCTGAAACAACTTATATAATCTCTTTAAGTATGGAACACTGAATTTGGGTCTGGTTGCCAATATCTAGGTTTCTTTCAAAACATTACTATTCATGTCTCATTCTGTCTTATTAAATTAAGATATGATGTACTTGAGTGAGGAGATGGGCGTGTACGGTCTCTTTTATTTCGCTCGTTCATCGTTCGTGAACGACCCATTTCGTATAAAGTTTTTTCAATCGTTCAAAAAATTTTGTTTCGTCGGTTCTCAAAATTATGGTTAATTTTCCATCTATTTCGTTCGTTTTCGCACTGAAAGATTTTCTAGTAAAATCGTTTGTCCAGTAAATCATTCGTTTAGTAAAATACGATAATTTTTTCATTTCTCTGAACGATCCATTTCGTTCATCTATCTTTAGTTTTTTTCTGATCGAACCCCTTTTTCACGAAAAATTGTGTTCGTTTAAAAAATTATGCCCATCTCTACTTGAAAGAGGAATAATTTCTACATTTATGAAATTAGTTGGGGGAGCTAAGCAGAAGAAAAAGGATAAAAGCAAAGGAAGAGGAGTTCCTGAGAAAGGTGACTTAAAAAATATTTCGACTTTTAAAATAATCATTTTTCAATTGTTTGCAAATTCCACAAAACTTAAATTTTCTTATCCCCATATCTTTACAACCTAATATTGACGTAGAACTTTGACATTTCAAACTAAAAATTCCGTTAGATCAAATTAGATAATTTGAGTTTGTGACAAAGACTAAATTTCATATAAAAAATCATGTAGGAACTTATTACTTGCCACAAACTCTAATTTTCTAATCCTAATGTCTTTGTAACCTGATGTTTTAAACCTTTTTTTTTCTTTCAAACTATAATGAACTTCGCCAGATCAGGTTACAAAAATGTAAAGAAAAAAAGTAAAAATGTAATAAATGTTTAGAGGAAGTAGAGCAGCATATAACTATAATGCCTAATCCTGCCGCCAGGCGCGGAAGTATGGCAAACTTTGCTTTTCCGGAACTCCACTCCAAGGTAAACAAATTCAGTTTTTCCACAAAATCAAATTTTTGAATCCCTATATTGTTGCAACCTGATGGTGTAAACCTTTGATGTTTCAAACTTACATTTTTGATCTAACATGATTTATAGTTTAAAATATCACCATTGTACTACAAAGATAAAGGGATTATAGAAAATCAGAGTTTGTGACCAAAGCAATTGAACAAACACTTCTCAAAGTCTTTTAATAAAACCATATATATTTGTAACCTGATGGCTGCATAAAGCATAAACCTTAGATAATTTAAACTTTGACTATCTATTGTAATCATTTAAAAATATCATGATGAATATATATATATATATATATAAAATAATGATATATATATTTTAAAGAAAACCTCTATTTTACTGTTGAATGAATATCTGAAAACTTTAACCGTAAACAAACAGAGTAAGAAATTTGACAGGGATTAGCGATGAAGTAGAAATTATTTGACAAGGTCTTTCAAGTTTTAGATATTAAAAATTATAAATAAGTTTTCTCCAAAAAAATGTGAATATATTTAACTTGGAATTTTTAAACTAAGCTGAAATTAATCCCGTGGCTCGACCGAGTTCCCCGGATGCAAAATATGAAACAGCTACTTAGACTTAATTTTAAGAAATTTGGTTCCCCCATCTCAGGGATCGAATCTTAATCTAGTTCTTAAAATGTTGGTTAAATTATTATTTTTCGGAATTTTTTTTAATAAGGTTGCTATGCTTCTTTGAACCAACCATAGCAAATTTGTAAATAGTTCAAAAAAATATTTTGTTTCTTATAAAAAAAAACTTTGCAAAAAAAATTAGCCACCATATCTACTTTAAAAAAAAAAATTTCTAGTGATTGGGGGGAGGGGGTGTATACTTGTCAGAAATTCCTATCTTTTAATGGTAAAATAAAGCGTTCGTTGATATCTTCTCACGGGCAGCCGTAGTACATGTGCATTTCCGAGCCGGGTCAATCTTTCCGGTCCCAGTTTGTACTGTATCGCCCGGACACTGGGTAAATAAAGGACTTAATAGGACTAGCCGGTGCAACAAGGTTGACGCGGTCAGACTTTAGGTTGAATTTACTATTACTTAAGGGTCAGGAGTGTGTGCTCTTTACTCTGCAGTATATTTTAATGCATGCTTAGAAGTTTTATGTTCGATGCACGTCAAACTAAAGGAAATTTATTTTTAATAAATTTCAAGTCCTCTTATTGAAGCGCTATGGAGAAGAACAAAATGTTATGGTTTAAAGAATGTAAGCAATGTAATTAAGTCTTTTCTAAAGATTGTGATTTACTAATCCTCATTTCTTTGCAGCCCAATGCCGTAGACCTTAGATGTTTTATTCTATGAATTCTTTTAATAAAATAATCTAAATTTGAACTAACAAAAGGAAAAACCATCGGGTTGCAAAGAAATAGAAATTAGAAATTTGAGTTTGTGGCAAGGACTCAAACTCATAATTGTGCTTAAAATCATAACTAGAGGTGAAAACGAGGTCCAAAGTAGTCCGAAGTAGTCCAAAGTAGTCCGAAGTAGTCCGAAGTAGTCCGAAGTAGTCCAAAGTTGTCCAAAGTAGTCCAAAGTAGTCCAAAGTAGTCCAGAGTAGTCCGAAGTAGTCCGAAGTAGTCCGAAGTAGTCCAAAGTAGTCCAAAGTAGTCCGAAGTAGTCCGAAGTAGTCCGAAGTAGTCCAAAGTAGTCCGAAGTAGTCCGAAGTAGTCCGAAGTAGTCCAAAGTAGTCCAAAGTAGTCCAAAGTAGTTCAAAGTAGTCCAAAGTAGTCCAAAGTAGTCCAAAGTAGTAGCAGTAACGTCGAATAGATTTGACGTCCTCCTTCTGTCCAGCTCAAACATCTACATATAAAGCCAAACGGCTGGACCAAATAGGCTGACATTTTATAAGGGAATCCATGAGAACTCTGGGGATAACAAAGGCGAAAAAAGATTACAAAATTTTCTTTACAATTATAATTTTTTTTATTTAAATTTATTTTCTCCAGTATTTTTTAATAATTCCAATGCGAAGTCGGGCACATAAGCTAGTAAATCAGCTAGTAAATCAGCTAGCAGATTAGCTAGTAAATCAACTAGTAAATCAGCTAGTAAATCAGCTAGTAAATCTGCTAGTAAATCAGCTAGTAAATCAGCTAGTAAATCTGCTAGTAAATCAGCTAGTAAATCAGCTAGTAGATTAGCTAGTAAATCAGCTAGTAAAAATAAAAATAAAATATCTTAAAAATAAGAAATACAAAATACAAGTTTTAATTTCCCTTCCATTTCCCTCTTGGTTTTTATCTTTTTCCGTACTGTAGACAAACATTGGTTTGTTTACTGTCATAATTAGTCTTTCCTAAACCAACATATAGTTAACGATATAATATGTAATAAAACAATAAATTTTATATCTAAAAAAACTAGCTCGCATTTCACGCTTTCAAAATAAACGGTTTTAACTAATTTTGCTAAAACTCAAATTTTAGAAAACTTTTTACTATGTTTACAGTTTACCAATATCATCTTGAAAATATAAATGTTTACAGTTTACCAATATCATCATGAAAATATAAATGTTTACAGTTTACCAATATCATCTTGAAAATATAAATGTTTACAGTTTACCAATATCATCATGAAAATATAAATGTTTACAGTTTACCAATATCATCTTGAAAATATAAATGTTTAGAAGTACATTTATTGCTTCTATAATATAAATACATATTAAATAAAGAGTGTATAAAAGGAGAGGAAGTTGAGAAGGTCTTCTCCGGTTNAAGATATTGAGATGAGTTTAGCTAATCTACAAATAAACTTCCAACCTCTGGTATGAGGTTTAGCTAATCTACAGATAAACTTCCAACCTCTGGTATATGGTTTAGCTAATCTACAAATAAACTTCCAACCTCTGGTATGAGGTTTAGCTAATCTACAGATAAACTTCCAACCTCTGGTATATGGTTTAGCTAATCTACAGATAAACTTCAAACCTCTGGTATGAGGCTTAGCTAATCTACAGATAAATTTCTAACCTCTGGTATGAGGCTTAGCTATTCTACAGATAAACTTCCAACCTCAGGTATCATGCTTAGCTAATCTACAAATAAACTTCCAACCTCTGATGTGAGGCTTAGCTAATCTACAAATAACCTTCGTATCTCTTTTATGAGGCTTAGCTAATCACAGATAAACGTCCTACATATTAAATAAAGAGTGTATAAAAGGAGAGGAAGTTGAGAAGGTCTTCTCCGGTTCCAGGGTCCGACACAACTGATTTGCGGATTTCATAATCCACTTTCGGGGATTTCATATCCTCTACAAATGTTTACAATTTTGACTTGTTTCAACATTTGTTTGTAATTAAAAAAGGAAATTCTGTTAAAATTTAAAGATTAAACTTTTTCGACATTTTAGCTAAAAATCGGAACCCTTGACATTATACCAAAACTTTCTAAATAGCAAAAATAATAAGGCCCCAGATTGAAAAAACGTAAAGCAAGGGCAAAAAAAGCCATCAAATGATTAAAGGGTAAAGTGCCGGGAGTGTCTAGATTGTATAAATTGCTTATAAACGAGTATACTCTACCTTGGACAGTATTAAAATGATTTGATAGATCGGAGCTCTTGCTTGCAAGAAATTGGGGAAAAGCTTTTTATAAATAAGGAGGCCGCATCTAAACAAAACTGTATTATGTTCAAAAAAGATCCCCTTTTCTTTATTTATAGTCCTGAAAATAAAGATAACAAAGATGCTATACACTTGTAACGGTTAAAATATATTACTTATAGATTTTTACGTCAGGATATGCAATGTGCACCATAATTACTACTTATGTATTTCAAAGAAATTGAATCTTTGCCACAAATTCTGATTTTTTAATCTTAATATTTATGCAACCCTATGTCGTGAGCCTTTATTATTTCAAATCAAATATTCTAAGTTTGAAATATCAAGAGTTATTACCATCTGGTTGCCAAGATATTGGGATTAGAAAATTTGAGTTTGTGGCAAAAACTCAATTTATTTGTCCGATGCATTCCTTTTTCTGCAATATGAAAAAAAACACCAGCACCTTATTCGTAGCAGTCAGAGGTATAAAATATTTAAATCTAATTAATATTCACTAATGATAATTTTCAATTGTGACCTGGGCATTTCTACTGCAGGAAAACATCTGGGAATTATCCGAATTAAACACTTTTAAAAAGAGAAAAACGACAATATCTCCCACATTATAAATCAGATATAAGTTTTAACTGAATCTGAATCTGGAATTTCCAATTTTGTACTAAATTTCACTTGAAATTTCGTTTAAATTCCCTTTAAGGACGTGCATCAATATGTATGCATTAGAAAGCTGAATTAATTATTAACATGTATACCAATCCCTCCTCCCCCACCTCAAAAAACATAAACTATAAAAATCTCTACAGGGCTAGGGTTAACAACAAATGTGGTAAACTTTTATGTTCAATCATAACTATAAAAACTTTTAGAATTTTGAATATATTCAAATCTTTATTTGATGGTATATAAAAGGGATCCATTAAAAAAAATGTACACGGAAAATGTCGAATTATCAAACTTATCACTTTTTAGATGGAGACTTATTTGAAAAGACGTTTACAGTTCCTATCAAATTTCTTATATCTAAAATAAAAAGGAAATTTTCAAAATCCTCATAAAGTACAAAAATCTTGGCTTTCTTGGAAAGAAAGTGACACCACCATTATAGAGAAGTATCGTCCATTCTAACCATTTAAGTGCCAAGGTTGGCGCTAACTATTCATTTTGTTTCATAAGATAGTGAGTATGCTGCTTAATTTTAAATTATTGAACAATCCCTTTAAATGTATGGAGAAATATTCCAAATTTTACAACAGCAATTTACTAAACTTGGTTAAGGATAAAAACTGAAGGATATAAAAGTTATATATATATATATTATATATATATAGTTTGGGGTTAGACATAATAAAAAATATTAGCTAAGCTTTACCCTATATCTACAGTTGTACTTTACTCTTTTTTATTTCTAGTTGAATCCTGAAATGTTAACCTTGAACGCTTGATTTTGATATCCAAAGTAGGCTAGGCACATTTAAATTCTAAAATCAATACTTGATCCATATAAGTAAACGGATGAATTAGCCCTTAGATCTGAATAAGAATTTAGATCAATGATTGATCCGGCTCACAACGAAAAAGTTCTGAATTCTTGATATTCTTTTGATTGGGGCCTGGAGGTCGGAAGTAGATTTTATTCTGCTTATCTCTTCAGAGTAATTAGCTAATCACTTTCAACTTATCAGAAAACAAAGAAAATTTTGCTTTTAGAAAATGAGAGATTGCAAAAATAAAGATTAAATCTATCCGATATAAAAATGAAAATCGGTTCAGGTTTTGTAGATTAGCAAAATGTCAAATCTTTTAGGAATCTTTTATAAGTGTTTTTTCTTTAGTTCCTATTATTTTCTGGATAAATCTTTAAAGTTTAAAGTTTAAAGTTTAGATCTTTTGTGTTGTGAACCTGAGATCAAGCTTTAAACCCCATCTTTAGAAAATCTACGAATTATTTTAGATTTCTTTTCGTTTTCACTTGGCTGCCCAAGTTTCGACAGTAATGATAGTAATAAAAATAATAATGATAATAAAAATAATAATAACAATAATATTAATCATGTAGATTAGCGGTAAAGACTAACGGAAATCTTCACTTTGAGACAAAAGTGCGCCGAAGATATTGAGATGAGTTTAGCTAATCTACAAATAAACTTCCAACCTCTGGTATGAGGTTTAGCTAATCTACAGATAAACTTCCAACCTCTGGTATATGGTTTAGCTAATCTACAGATAAACTTCAAACCTCTGGTATGAGGTTTAGCTAATCTACAGATAAACTTCCAACCTCTGGTATGAGGTTTAGCTAATCTACAGATAAACTTCAAACCTCTGGTATGAGGCTTAGCTAATCTACAGATAAACTTTCAACCTCTGGTATGAGGCTTAGCTTATCTACAGATAAACTTCTAACCTCTGGTATGAGGCTTAGCTAATCTACAGATAAATTTCTAACCTCTGGTATGAGGCTTAGCTATTCTACAGATAAACTTCCAACCTCAGGTATCATGCTTAGCTAATCTACAAATAAACTTCCAACCTCTGATGTGAGGCTTAGCTAATCTACAAATAACCTTCGTATCTCTTTTATGAGGCTTAGCTAATCACAGATAAACGTCCAACCTCTGGTATGAGGCTTAGCTAATCTACAAATAAACTTTGTATCTTTTGTATGAGGCTTAGCTAATCTACAAATAAACTTCGTATCTCTTGTATGAGGCTTAGCTTATCTACAAATAAACTTTGTATCTCTTGTATGAGGCTTAGCTAATCTAAAAATAAATTTCGTATCTCTTTTATGAGGCTTAGCTAATCTACAGATAAACTTCCAACCTCTGGTATGAGGTTTAGCTAATGTACAGATAAACTTCCAACCTCTGGTATGAGGCTTGGCTAATCTACAGATAAACTTCTAACCTCTGATATGAGGCTTAGCTAATCTACAAATAAACTTTGTATCTCTTGTATGAGGCTTAGCTAATCTACAGATAAACTTCCAACCTCTGGTATGAGGCTTAGCTAATCTACAAATAAACTTCCAACCTCTGGTATGAGCCTTAGCTAATCTACAAATAAACTTCGTATCTCTTGTATGAGGCTTACCTAATCTACAAATAAACTTTGTATCTCTTGTATGAGGCTTAGCTAATCTACAAATAAACTTCGTATCTCTTTTATGAGGCTTAGCTAATCTACAAATAAACTTCCTATCTCTTGTATGAGAAGCATAAGGAAAAGTGTAAGACCGTATATTGTGTAAACTCTGCAGTATTGATTGAATAATTCACTCGACTTGATACAGCTTATAGAATACTAAATATATTTACCAGTCCATGGAAAACAACATCTTAGCTATTTTAACAATTTATGCGATGATAAGTTTCATATGGCTGGTCGAAAATAGAAAAAAATTGCAAAGAAAAAATGTCACGTAGTTAAAAATTTTGGAAATTCGCAAATAGTAACAGAAAGATCCGAAAATTTTTGATTTTTAAAATAACAAAGAAAAAAAAGTTATTAAAAAGGTTAGTACATTATACCATACATTACAAACACATCATACTAGTTTGTATATTACAAGCACAGTCTACAATACATTACAACTGTACTTTACACTACAAACACACTGTACTGTACAGTAAAAACTCATTTTATCGTACGGTAAAAACCGTAAAATCACATTACTGTCGAGTGTCTGATTTTTCTATAGTTTAGCTAGTTAATCCCTGCGTAGTCCCGTTGGAGGGGTAGGTCACACATAAACACTAAAAGGAAATAGTGGTTGACAGAATATTATAAATGATAAATAATTTCCATATTTGGCAACAGTTTCCTTTCCTTCATAAACCGGTGCTTCCGCTTTTTAAACTCTTTTCCCGCATTTATATCCTCAACTTCATATTTGTTTTAAAATCAAAAATGTCAACTAGAATATAAGAAACAGCAAGGATTTATTTACATATTGAAAAGCCGTTTTCTTTAAGAAGAAAATCAACAAAATGTTTGGCATATTTTCCAGGTTTAATTGTTGAGTATTCAAAATTTAAGACAAAAATATTTGTCCATATAATTGACATCAAATAAAAAGTGAACCCGAAGTCCTAATATATAAACGAGATAAATGGTGATTACCCAAGGCACATACAGAATGAATAAAACCCTATCCAGCCTGGAAGGGGGGTGGGGTCAACTCATTTTTTTCCGATAACTCGACAAGTGTTTGTGCTAGGAAGCTGACATTTCTTGGCTTTTCTAACTAGCGCTCCACACTTAATGCTAAAAGCTGGGCTTTTAGACTTTCTGTCTGAGTTTTTAGGCATACATGCCTAGTTTCATTTTTTACCTGTACCAGACTAAATATTTATTTATACCTATTTCCAGTCATTGAATTTCAACATTTTATAATTCTTTGGTAAACCTATATCAGAAAACAACAATGTTTGCAAAGAAATTTTGCACAGATTTTTCCACAGACGCCTTCTTAGGGAATGTGCACCATTTCAGTTTTTCTTAAATACAAATTTGAGTTTTGAAAATTTGTAGATGGTTTTTGCACATTTGAATTTTCTGGGTCAAGGGCTTTTTAAAAAAAATTTCACATTCTTTGCTCAACAACTAGATTCCGCAAAAAATATAGGGATTTTTGAAAATTTTCTATAAGAAAATAGGGGTGGGGGGTCAATTGGACCTACAGACAATTCAAAGACGACTATACGGAACTTAAATTGTCTATTTCCTAACTTTTATGCTTTTCTGCAATTGTAAACTTGCTTCTTTCTTTTCAAAGTCAGTAAAAAGGCCTTAAAAGATTAATGTCAAGGCAGAAGACTTAATTCAACCTCGGAATCGACATATTTAAAGAGTTTAGGCCGCCTTTAGAGTCCCATCCTTTGCGGGTAAAATATGACGATGCAGTTGAAAAACTAACTAATATATTCACAGATGCTCTCTCTAAACTGTCAGGCAATTTAGGCCTATAAAGTAAATTGTACAGTTTGTGAAAACTGCCTCGTCTTCCCACCAAATGATCCATAATAAACAGAACTCCGGGGTAAAGAACAATTTATACAACACCACTACGATAATTATTAAGTTTAATCTAATATTTGTTGTTGATCCAAACCTCAGAGGGTGAATTAATTAGGTGTTCCCAAGGGGGAAGGCTAGTTCTCTACCTGTGTGCTCAATTAGCTGTACTGTACACTTACAACTGTTTACCAGGGGGAATGATAGTTATGTACCTGTGTGCTCAATTAGCTGTACTGTACACTTACAACTTTTTACTAATATTGATACTATAGGTTAGGCCAGAATCAGCTTATAATAAACAAATATGCAGTACACTCTCGGTATAGTTTATGACCTATACAATTAGTAAAGGATTAGCGTACATCATCACTCTATACACTATAACCTCGTTGGGTGATCCACATTTCTAAAAACATAAATGGTTCTGAGTAGAAGCTCTTTAGTTCTAACGATAAAAAAAAAACATTATAATCAATATAAAAAGATGTAAAATATTCTAAAGAAAAAGGTTTTAATGGGGCTTTGGCGGTTTTCTAAATTTTTATCGTGAAGACGACATTTGGAAGAAAACTGCAAATAAAATTATAGAAACAGAAAATGATGACAATGAAACAATCGATTCAACGGATCTACTATTGCTTTTATCGATGATTTCTTTTAAGAAATATGTTCCTAAATAGAAAACTAGTCTATAAAGTATTTTTTTTTACATGTTTTGTCCGGGTTATTAAATTATTTTAAAAAACGTTTCTTCTGCTGACAAAACAACTGATGAAATATAACTAAACGACTTAAATCTCTTATTTAAAAATTGTACATCATAAAAATGTCTCATTGGTATAAATTGAATCCTAAAGCTTTTCTCTACAATACTATACTCTCAGCTCAACTACTAGTCTGGTGTACTAAAAAAAGCTGGTTTTTCTCCAAGTTTGTGCAGTTAAGGTTTTCAATTAAATTTTCATTTCAGGCCAAACTGAAGAACGAGCCTGAGAACTTATTGGTGTTAACTACAACAAGGTGATTAGTTTTTATCTGCTAACTTTATTTTAAGAAAAAATCGTAAAAACTTTCTAGACTATTTTTTTAAATATCTAGAATTTTTGATCAGGCATTGAGCTACATCTTTATACAGAGGTACGGATTAATTTAATTCCTCTTAGATATTCCTTGGTCGTCATACCCTGCAGGGATAACCTAATCTTATATTTTCAGCATAACCTTTTTTCTCTGAAGTAATTGTATCAGGCGTACAACTTTTAATATATATTAATATATATATATATCTTTTACATAATCGATTTATTATTCAATTGAAAAGAGATTTGCATACTTTTTATTTTTTAAATATATATCTTTTTAAATATGTGAACTGTGTGATGAGACCTAAAAAATATTATTTCCAGGACGGATACAAGAGGAAGACGACATTCAGTAGCAGTTCCTCTGATCCCCCCCCCTGATGGGGAAAAATTTGAGGTAGTTTTCGTGTTTCAAGAACTAAAATTTTTAAAAGTTTCCATTTGCTCCAATTAACTGCAGTGTAAACCAGAAAACTCTGATATAGAAATACGACTTTCAGAAATAAAGTGTATTTGATGCTGTTACAATGCAATAGTTTTACTTGCCACTTATTAGATCACAAATTAAGTGAAATGGGTCTGTTTACACTGCACAATGGCTGTTTCTCATGCATATTGTTCTTTTTAAAGTCATAAAGTCGTCTTCCTATTTTTTCTGGTTGTCACTGTAGAAACCAACAACTGTTTGTTGCAACCCACATGACCCCAGGATTTGAAAATATGGCCAAGAAAAAATGTCGACTTTTGAACACTAACTTAAACCTTTAAAATCAGGAAAAATATTTGATTTTTGAATTACAATGAAAAATGGGGACTTGAAAAACAACAGCTAAATTAGGCCTAGCAAAGGAATTTAGTCTTTACCACAACTCAAATTTTCGAAACCCTATATCTTAGCAATCTGATGGTGTAAACCTTTGATATTTCAAACTTTAATTATTTGATCTAACACAATTCACAGTTTGAAATATCAAGGGTCAGCGAAATAGGGTTGCAAAGATATAAGGAAAAGAAAATCTAAATTTGTTTCAAAGACTCGATTTCTTTTCTGTTACCGTTGAAAGTCAATGTTTACGCATATTGCAACCTTACTGCAATATGTTTTCTAAATAGTTATATGAAATCTAATGAAAGATTTTTAATAGTTGGTTAAAAGTTGGGTTTTGCATAACATATAATTTGGCATTCGTCGTTAACGGAAGTTGCCTGGTCTGGTCTTTCTTAGCCTTAAAGAACGCAGTTGTCATTTATTGATTAACCCTTGTTTTGTATAGGGCGGGTATCATATAGAGAGAAATCCTATAACAGGAGGGGCTAGGCTGGTTCCGCCTCCACCAGGTAAATCTTTTTGTTTAATTCACCTCTCAACAGTTTTCATTACTTTTTACTTTACGTTACTTTCATTAACTCCCAGTACCCACCCTCTCTGTACTTTTTCAATCTGTTATTTATATTTAACTTAATTTTATAACACGGTCTTCACGTTTTAATGTAAAATTCCGATTTTTCCTTTTTTAAGTTTGTTTACATGAGTTTTTAGACTTGATATATCAATCAGATTTTGCATATTTTCCATTGCATATTTGTAAAGTTTGATCTAGATATATGCATCTAGGCTGTGACGACCAATAAATGAAATTTTGCCACATAACATTCTTTTAAAAATTATTAGAACAATTTGTTTCTCTTCTCTGAAGAATTATTTCTAAAAAAACATTTATATGTTGTATAACATGCAAAACTTACATTTAACGATACACAAAATATGTACTGCAGCCAAAACATTGAAAAGAAGAAATTTAACCTTTGTAATATTATCTTGCTGTCATGTACCGAAACATTTTAGAAGTTGCATTAAATATTAAAAGTAGATAAACTTTATGAGGATGAATAGTTAATTAAAATCATTAATAATTTAATTTCAATCAAATCTATTATCAATAAACTGCAGGACAAATACAAAACGAGATAAGTTTCAAACTTACGGAAACGTACATACAAGGTTACCCATAAAGGATGAGACTGTGAAGACGACTGGTTGGATTTCATTCTAGACTTCAGAGAATCAGACACCAGATATGACTGGTCGGATTCTATTCTAGACTGCAGAGACGACTGGTCGGATTCTATTCTAGACTGCAGAGACGACTGGTCGGATTCTTTTCTAAACTGCAGAGACGACTGTTTGGATTTTATTCTGTTTTTTTACAGAAATGATTCTGTGCATTCAAGTCTCATTCATTGTGGGTAATCTTGCAATAATTGATAAGCAAAATGATTTTTCTTCTGAAAAATAAATTAATTATGGGTATAATTGTTCACATCGTTATATTTGAATGTTCAAATCTTCCAGTTTTTGAAATGATTAACCCTTCTATGTGGAACTAGAGTTGAAGGATATAAAACGACGGCTTCGACGTGAACCAGTTCGATCCTTGAGCCAGGAACCTGATCTATCCACTATATCTGAGTATCAGGGTACTAGAGATGGGCATCGGTTTTCTCAACAAACAAAATTTTGAGATTGAACGAATTTTATTGTGAGTGATGGTGTCGGTCAGGAAATAAAACGAACGATGAACGAAGGATTTTTTGACCAACCCTTGAAAAAAAGGATCTTTCTTGTACAGCACGAATAATGTTTTAGAGCAAACGATTTTACTGAACGATCGTTCAATGAGAAAACGAACGAAATAGTTGGAAAATGAACAATATTTTTAAGAGTAAATAAAAAAATTTGTTACGAACAAAAATGGGTCGTTCAAGAACGATGAATGCACAAAATTAAGAAAAAGGCGAATGCGCCCATCTCTAGGTACACCTGTAGCCCTTTCTTCTCGTCTTAAAACCTCAAGTTCCTCGAGTCGTAGTTCGCTATCTTCTCATGGTACCTTACACAGTATGAGAGAACTTTAATATGGGACTTAAACACTGTATCTTATAAAGGGACTATACACTTAAAATCAACTGGATCTCCATTTAAAGAGTGGCATCATCTATTCCCAAAAGTAATTTTACTTTAAAATGCAGGGGATCAACAATTTCCTCTAACAATGACATACGGATCTCTACTTTAAAAACAAAGAACAACATCTTTAGAATTGTACATTTTTCAAGCAAGAAACACTACGATATCTTCCACTTTATTTTAAAGTGTACCATTGGGAATCGAACATGTAACTCTTTAATAAGAAGAGAACTTTAAATTACGTTGTCAGTCCTTTAAGTCTTATGTTAAAATCTCTATCTCCATGTAATTCCCTTTTTATAGATAGTTAAGTTGAACCCTTTATAGATGTAGAGTGTAGACAGCCTATAATGCTATATACTGAAAATACAAAAAACCTAAAGAGGATTTTTATATTAGGCCTAGCATGAAGTCATAACGTTTTTGTTGTGAATCTTGGGATCAAATATCTTTATTATATGGAGAATGGAGACCCATAGATTAATTTAATTTCTCTGTGCATTGATCCTCAAATTCAAAAGTACTCATATTAAATATCTAGATCAATTTAAGATTAACAATATCCGCATAAAAGTTCGACCTCTGGGTAAAGGAATTTAGTATTCGCCACAAACGTTAATTTGTTGCTACGTTTTTTGAGTTTTAGAGGACATTACGCAAAAAAATATGAATTCTCTCAATATACAAGCTCTACAGTAACAATAGCTGCGGCAGCTAACGGTTTCATTGTGGATTTTGGAAGATTTTGAAAAAGAAAGAAAGCGGCAAGAAAGTCTGCACTCGCAAAAATTAAAACGGTAAGGTGCGATTGAGCAGAAACAATCTTCCAGAATCCATCATGAACACGTAATAATACTCACATTAAATACTGTTCAAATTCAGCGTAGCTCCACTTCGTTGGCAAATTGTAAAAAAACTGAATGGAATCAGCTGTTCCTGGCCAGGGAGTTGAGAATGTGAGCCGGAAGTGCGACAAGGAATAGAGCAGCAGACATTAAACGAGCTTGTATAGTAGAGAGAATTGATATATTGTCTAATCCATATATCTTTGCAACCCAATGATTGATATATGCAACTGTAAATATATCAGTATAGGACATTAATAAATAACAATATTATAAAAATATCAATTTAGTATTTTCCTTAGTGCTGAGAAATAGTTTTAAGGTTGAAACCCTATATTAGAAACAGACACCAAACTAAATCTTTATTTTTTCCTAGCATAGAAATTTAGCTGAAACTTTTTTGATGTTGCAGTTCTTATAATAATAGGTCAAAATTATGTGTAAACAGCACATACAGGCTAGTCATCAATCAGATTTTAAAGTTCAGGGATTGTTAATTGTAATTTTTAAGATTCTTATTTTTTGAAACATCATGTTTTTGATTAAAAATGTTCAACTCCCGTAAGAAGAAAGAGTCGGGAGTAGTAACAAAAAGTGTTAATTATTTCGGGACTTAAAACTTGGGTTTTTGTAGGTTTATACCACATCAATAGCTATCTTCAATCAGTGTTTGATAGATTTCACTGTTTTTGTAGGTTTATACCACATCAATAGATAACTTCTATCAGTATTTGATAGATTTCACTGTTTTTGTAGGTTTATACCACATCAATAGATATCTTCTATCAGTATTTGATAGATTTCACTGTTTTTGTAGGTTTATACCACATCAATAGATATCTTCAATCAGTATTTGATAGATTTCACTGTTTTTGTAGGTTTATACCACTTCAATAGATATCTTCAATCAGTGTTTTTCTGCATTTTTTACATTAAGAAATGTAAATAGCAATTCTACATATTTATATTCTTAATATCAAACTATGTAAATATATGCTTGGTCGTGTACATCTATTCCATGAAGAATGATGATAATGTTGACTGGGGGATTTTTGCATAATATCATTCAACATAAGGACTTTCTACAAAAATTTAAAGGATTTTAAAGTAATGTAAATCTTTTTCAAAAAAGAAAATTCAGTGGCTCATGTTTTATGGCCGACAGATTATCTAAGTTTGAAGATAAATTAATAAAACTTTAACTCCTGTTAATGACAACACAAAGAAAAGGAACAACTATTCGAACCCCCCCCCCCTTTACCCAAACCTTCAAAGCCTTTTAATGTTTACATTGTAATAAACGTTCTTTATAAAATAATGATAATAATAATAATTATAAATGTGTCTGCAGTTGAGAGGGTCCTATTGTTGTACTCTATGCAAATCCACAGTGCTTTTCTTTATACAACAAACATAACTTATACAATTCCCCACATTCTTAAAGCATAAAGTGACAGTGTACAATTAAGGAACAGTCTCTAGATGTACAATAAAGCTTAAAGAGACAGTATACTATTTTTAAACAGCTTATCTTCATTAAGTTTAAAGAGACAGAATGCCATTTAGTAACGGTTTATCTTCAATAAAACTTAAAGAGGCAGTATACCATTTTTAAACAGCTTATCGTCATTAAGCTTAAAGAGACAGAATGCCCATTTAGTAACAGTTTATCTTCATTAAGCTTAAAGAGACAGTATACCATTTAGTAACAGTTTATCTTCAATAAAGTTTAAAGAGGCAGTATACCATTTAGAAACAGTTTCTTTACAATTAAGGCAAAGCTGGGTTTTCCAAACTAGTTTAATATAAAGTATGTACAGTTTCTGCAGCATGTACGTACGTATGTACACTGTACAAAGTCATAAACTTTTCTATGCGATATCTTGATTTATTAATATTGTTTTATGGAAATCTTCTGAAAATACTCTTTTTAACAATATCTAAAAAACCTTGTATTTGCATTGCAAATATATGTTTGTTTTATTTTCTCAAATATTTAGGTTTTAAACAGTCCCAGAATACATTAAATTGTTCTTTAGGAATTTAAGATTTAGATTGATATTATGTACAAATATCCAGAATATTCTGGATATTTCAGGTTTAGATTATCTTAAACAAATATAAAAGTGTGACAAATGTTTCTATATCTATTTTTCAAGGGCTTTTCAGAAAAATAGTTTTTATATATGTAGCTTTAGTCACAAAAAAGTTATGGGCTATTTTATATTTTCTTTCCAAAGACCGGAATTTTTTCCGCCCTGTAGGCTTTACCCAACCCTAAGCATTAAAAAACAAAAAATCCTTTTTATTTTATTAAAGGTCACAAAATTTCACGATGAAAGTGTCAAAAATGAGAGTTATAGCACTTAAAAAAACTACAAAAAACTTCCCCAGCCTGTTTAGGTTTAAATAGCAGGAATATTTCTGGATATTTCAGGTTTAGATTGATATTGTGTTTAAATATCCTAATGTTCCTGGATATTTCAGGTTTAGATTGATATTATGTTAAATATCAAGAATATTCCTGGATATTTCAGGTTTAGATTGATATTGTATTAAATATCAAGAATATTCCTGGATATTTCAGGTTTAGATTGATATTGTGTTTAAATATCAAGAATATTCCTGGATATTTCAGGTTTAGATTGATATTGTGTTAAATATCAAGAATATTCCTGGATATTTCAGGTTTAGATTGATATTATGTTTAAACATCCAGAATATTCATGGATATTTCAGTTTAAAATTATTATCGTGTTTAATATCTAGAATATATTTAGATTGATATTGTGTTTGAATTTGAATATTTCTAGATATTTCTATTCATATTTGCAGGTATGCATTGTATTCAGGGATACCCACTTAGAATATCAATATCCCAATGTTATATTTAGTTTTCTGCCTTAATAATCTTTTATTAGTTTATTAAATGATTTAGCAAAGAAAGAAACAAGTTTACCGTCGCTAAATAACAAACAGTATAACTTCCATACAGTCGTCTCCAAAGTCTGATCCTGTGTGGGTACTCATGTACTGCCTAATACTCCTGTGTGGGTACTCATGTATCTGCCTAATATGTCCTTATACTCCTTGTATATATCAGGATGTATATTCTCTAAATGAATGTTTGTTATAATTCCTTGATTAGCTAAGATGATAGAGTTACTGCACTGCAGTCGAGTCTAGAAATCTCTAGAACTTGTTAAGAGTTGTTGTAATGACCGAGATCTAGATCAAGAATTATCTAGAAATATTTTCAAGATATGTCAATTATTTGTTTAAGTGTTAGTTGGGTGTCATTTAACATGCACGCACTAAAGATGGCAATCTTCATTTTATGATTCAATTCTTGAAAACATTTAAAATCATGGTTTGCAACTGGGAAAGATGCAAATCACCCTGAAACCTAATATATGTATTTAAACTTAAAAAAAAGGTTTGTGGTTTTTTTATGAATCAGTGATCCCATAATTTGTTTTACTTAACAACAAAAATATATACTTTTGCTGCATACTTTTGACTTGCATTTTACATATATAGAAGTAGAAATTCAATACACATTGATTTTAATAGTGCTCCTTTAGATGCATTGCTTAGTAAACCCCTTTTTATCAGATATATCCTTAATAGACCTACAGTATGCGCATAAACTAACCTACTTTTCTACTGCTCTACTGAACTGCTGTTCTAATGTTTTACTGTTATACTGTTCTACTGTTCTACTGTTCTTCTGTTCTTTTGTTCTATTGTTCTACTGTTCTACTGTTCTACTGTTCTACTGTTCTACTGTTCTACTGTTCTATTGTTCTACTGTTCTACTGTTCTACTGTAATCCTGTTCTACTGTTCTACTGTTCTACTGTTCTACTGTTCTACTGTACTACTGTTCTACTGTACTACTGTTCTACTGTACTACTGTTCTACTCTTCTAATGTTCTACTGTTCTACTGTTCTAATGTTCTACTGTTGTACTGTTGTACTGTTCTACTGTACTACTGTTCTAATGTTCTACTTTTATACTGTTCTACTGTTCTACTGTTCTACTGCTCTACTGTTCTACTGTTCTACTGTTCTACTGTTCTACTGTTCTACTGTAATATTGTTCTACTGTACTACTGTACTACTGCACTACTGTACTACTGTTCAATACAGTCCTACCCCCCCTGTGCATGAGAGAAAAGTTTGAAAGCTATGTGTCAGCTTAGATAGAATCCCATCAAATCCCTTGTTTGTTTCTGCGGATAAATTTTACAAAGACAAATATTGCAGAAGAAAGAGAAAAACTTTTTTTTTTAAATCCAATTTATTTGTTTAGGAAGCAATCCTGTTCCTAGTAGTAGTAGAAGTGGAAGGAGACATAGTATTCAGGTTAGTTTAGCATTTTTGAGAACTGGGGGTCGAGGAATCAGAAAACAAAAGTATTCCAAAAACATGGAAATTAAATAAAAGTGGGATCTAAAGACGACTTAAGATTTTTACTTCTGGGTGAACGGCAAAGCTGTCAAAAAGTTGTTTTATTTTACTAAAGGGATTCCCGTCGTAGTAAAAAATGGCCCTCAATAAAAAAGAGGAGATGCCCGATTGACAATGGTACCGTTGACACTGACAGTAACACCTTAATCTTATAAATAATGTTGAAGATAGTGTCTGTTTACTGACTCCAATATTTCTGTAACAAGAAATGCGCAAATCAATTATGTAGAGAAATCACAAATGAAAATAATCAGCTTTTACAATCAAAAGAATCCTGCAATTTAAATCATAAAAATATCTTTGTTTAATTTAAATTTTATAAATATCTTTGTTTAATTTAAATTTTGTACATATCTTTGTTTAGTTGAAAGGTACTAAAAGATGGCATGGTTTATAAATCCAAATTATTTTAAGTTTTCGGCATTCAAAAGATTTAAAGGTTTTACATATTTCCTATAAACTATAGTAAAGTATAAACTACCACTACACAGCTTGTAAATATTGGAAAAATATTGGAATCTGTAGAGCTTGTCAATATACTTGATATGCATATCGAAGTTTGATAAAAAAAAATTCTTTAGGAAGGGCGTAAACAGTTGTGGGCGATAATATCAATATTACGAAGCCGACTTTTTTATTAAAGTTTTTATTTCTGCTTACAAGTTTAAAAGTAATTAAAGGGAAGCTTTTTTATTTGATAGCTTCTCTTTGTTTCCATTTTTTGTGAATTCATACTGTTTAAAAGCTTGTCGTCTTCATTATATTGATATAATCGCCTACCACCGTATATTTAGGAGAAAGAAGGGGGAGGGGCGGCGCCCCACCCTAGAATCATAAAAGAGTCTAGCTATAAACGACTTTTGAAACTAAAAAATAAAAAAAACAGTTTCCCTAGAATTCTACAGTTCATACAATTATTCCACCATTCCTACAAACTTCATTATGGTAGCCAAAATAAAAAAAAATAATGCATATGTTCTTTTTTTTAAGTGTCTAAATAAAAACACTATGTTGACATTGGGTAAACACTTTGGGGGTAAAAGTCACTTGATAAGATGAACATTAAAAAAATGTATCCTTATAACCTTTAAAATACTAATTAAAATAAGAGGAATTTTATTTGGGAAAAAACCTTTATCCTATACCCTATACCCTATAATAAATATCGACATTATACTAAATTTATTGTCAGGTTGGGGTTTATGTGGTTTCCAGGGAGAACAAAGATACATTGTTCCTTTGACAGAAATCCTTTTATTTTGTAAACCTTTCCTTTATTCAAGGAACAACTTTTCCTTTTTTTGAATATAAACAATTTAGACTCTACAAGGTTGAACTAAATTCGTAATTTAAATTTTTTTAAATTATAAAGGGACTGTCAACGAAATTTGGAAAGACCAACTCTCGATTTAAAGTTTTATCTTTACATGCACCTAGGGTTGGTAATCGTTTTTGAAAACGATCGTTTAACGATCGTTTTTTGCTTCGTTAAACGATCATTTTTAAAAACGATCGTTTCGTTTTCTCAAACGTTTTCTTAACGAAACGATCGTTTTTTTCAAAAATCAAAACGTTACCAACCCTATGCACCCTGTTTCAACTTAACATTGTCCTAATATTTTTTTTATCCTAACAAATCAGAATTGAAATTTGTCCCTGAATAGTTTCAGAAAAACACGAATATAAATTTGTCCTTTTTTCTCTTTACAAGAATGGGATAATTAATTTGCCGTACTTTCCTGGTTAGCCATATATTTGCACTGTACAGCTTGCTCTTTAGCTGATTAAAAGTTGGTCCCGTATTTGAAATGAATTAAATAAGTTGTGAATTGGGCCTGTGATACTTAGAATTAAAGGTCACCACTGAAAATTACATGAGCAGTCCCTTAAAATACCAAGTTAAATGTCACCTACGATAATAAACTTTTTAAGGATCAATATCATTTTGTGTTGTACTTAAGTAAAGTAACATTTAGTCTTGGTTCATTTTGTACAGGTAACGTTTCGTATAGATAAAATCTTGTCTAGGTAACATTTCGTATAGGCCTAACACCTGGGGTAGATTTCGTATAAATGTAAAAAAAATAAAACATCAAATATAAGCTATATAAAGCTATTGAACATACTTTTTCTTTTTATCCGAATTATTATCCATCAAATTTCAGGTATTCTTTATCATGCAGGATGCCAAACTGTTCAGCAAGTAATCTTTAAACATAAGTTATGATAATTGTAAACAACTATTGCATACATAACCCTGACGAGTATACACACATGGTTTTGATAATGTTGTAATTTGGCGGAATTTCTTCATCACGGTGCATACAATTTTCTGCAAACTATCTCCATTCTTTTATGGATAATTGTATACGAAAAATTACCTATACGAAATGTTATCTATACGAAATGTTACCCATACGAAATGTTTCCTACACGAAAAATTACCTATACGAAATATTATCTATACAAAATTTTACCTTTACGAAATGTTATCTATACGAAATGTTACCTATATGAAATGTTACCTATGCAAAATGTTATCTAGACGTATTTCCTGGACAAAGTGTACTATACGAAACGTTACTATACGAAAATGTACTATACGAAAATGTACTATACGAAACGTTACTATACGAAAATGTACTATACGAAATGTTACTATACAAAAATGTACTATATGAAAATGTACTATACGAAAATGTACTATACGAAACGTTACTATACGAAAATGTACTATACGAAATGTTACTATACCAAAATGTACTATATGAAAATGTACTATACGAAAATGTACTCTACGAAACGTTACTATACGAGAATGTGCTGTTAAAAAATGTTACTATACGAAAATGTATCTATATATATTTGCCTCAGCGATTCCCGGGTTTTAAGATACATTTATTATCTCTGAAAGGTGAAAAGAGAAATAAATTACATTATTCTTATATATTTTCATATTGAACAATCTAAAAATAATAACTCAAAATTTTAGTCAATATTAGAGATGTTTGTTCTGCAAGCACAGGCCACAATAGAAAAGTCGTATTACAAAAGATATGTTGTTATTATTATTATACGCATCGGACGTTTATGAAAACTACCAAATATCTTTAAACTTAAGGAATTGAGTCTTTGTCAAAACTCTAATTTTCTATTCTTATTCCTATATCTTTGCAACCCAATGCTGTAGACCTCAGATATTTCAAACTGTGAATTTTATGCACAAATAATCTAAGATTAAAATATCAAAGGTTTTTGCAATCAAGCAGCAAAGTTTGTGACGAAGACTCAATTCCTTTGTTATATTGGCTTCAACCATGTAATTGAAAAATTGGCTTGAAAATTGTTCTAAATGTGTTAAAATGTTCTACCTTGATCCTTTCTGGTTTCCAAGCACTTGTGCCTCGCCAAGATTGTAATGAATGTTTTTGCTCCGAATTAATCAGTAATGAGAAGGATGGGAAGAATGGGAATGATGGGGAGAACGGGAAGGATGGGAAGATTGGGAAGGATGGGAAGAATAGGAAGGATGGGAAGGAGATATTTAGAACAGGAACCGTCTTGAATCACTGATTCAAAGTAAAAAATGCATAAGGATTTTAAGCGGTGATTCAGGATTTGAGCCGGCGATAGTTAGTTCAGCGTCCTTTCCAATTCATAAAATTTGGTCCCTGCATGCATACATAATTGTTTTTTTTAGGTAACTCCGTTAACTAAAGAACTGGAGAAATTAAAGCTGGCGGATAAAGCATCTAATGGCACTAAACCAGGTAGAACAGAACAGGGATTATTTTATTGTAAATTCATTTTTAATACTTTATAATATTTAATATTTAATATTTAATAATTTTATAAGAAAACACCGGCCTGACAGCATTTGTTTATTTGAACAATTTGCTCATTATAGTTAAATGAATATACAGGCCCGACTATCGACAAAGAATGAGACGAGGCAAGGCATGTTGTTTATAGCGATACAAAATATTCTATCATGTTTTTTTTTGTTAATGAAGAACATCTTTGAAGGATAGTATGCATAAAAGCATTCTGGAAAATTTTTATTCAATTAGCCCTCAAGAAAATCAAAGCCAACTGCTATGTTTTCTTTAACCCTATCTCTGCTGGGGTACTTGAAAACCAGGATATGCTGGGGGGGGGTCAATT